GAAGAGACAGTCCCTGCATCTCCTCTCCTCCTCTCCTTCTCCCCCTCCTGCTCCCGTCCCAGCCCGCCTTTACCCTTCGCGTGTCGCTGTTTAGGCACATCCCTCACACGTCGCGTGGTCGCGGAGGGAGCTCCACCGAAGGCCTCAGTGGGAGGGTACACGTGCGTCCGCCCCACCCTTATCGACACACCCCTAACACGCTTCGTGGCCACACAGGGAGTTCGACTGAAGGCCCCAGTGGGAGGGTCCACATACGCCCGCCCGGCCCATTTCGGTACAGTGCACCCCTCACACGTTCCGTTGCCCCGTAGGGAGCTCCACCGAAGGCTCCTGTGGGAGGGTCCACATGCGCCCGCCCGACTCAGTTCGGCACACCCCTCACACATTTCGTGGCCCCATGGGATGCTCCACCGAAGACGATCCCCACAACTGCGTTGCTCGCAGATGCATATGGTTGGGCTCTTTACCAGTATCACTTGTTTCAAGAAATTTGACGTTTTTTCTCCAGGTACGAGCCTAGACTGAACGACCGCTGCATGTTTTTCGATGCGTGGACCCCCCGCGAAGTCTGGACCACTTCCCCAGGGCTGGTTTTTCACCCCGAGTCGTTTCTTGACGCTCTCGGGGCCCGTTGAGGGCCCGGAGGCCGAAAACTGACCCAAATGGGACGCTCCAGTTTTCCGGGATTTCGGGGAGTTCTCGGGGAGTTCTTTGGGAGTTCTCTGGGAGCTCTCTGGGAGTTCTCTGCGAGTTTTCCGGGATCTCCCAACGGAGCCTCGGATCTCTGGGAGCTTTCTTTTCTCTCCAGGTGCTCCCGGCCGTCGCCCCCGATGGTCGCGGCCTTCGCGACGACGCCGAAGCCGCGGCTGGCGCTGCGGCAGTCGCCCGCCGGCAGGCTCGAGCTGGCTGTCGGCTTCGCCCTCTGCGGGCTGCCGCCCTCCGCGGCGGCGGCGAGGGCCGTGCGCGCGGACCCGGAGGTGGGTTCGCAAAAGGTATCCTCTTCCTCCAACTCCTCCTCCTCCGACTCCTCCTTCTCATCCGCCTCCTCCTCCTCCGACTCCTCCTCCAACTCCTCCTCCGACTCCTCCTCCTCCGCCTCCTCCTCCGCCTCCTCCTCCTCCAATTCCTCCTCCAACTCCTCTTCTCCTCCTCCCCCTCCTCCTCCTCCTCGTCCTTCTCCTTCCTCCTCCTCCTCCTCCTTCTCCTCCCTCCTCCTCCTCCTCACCGGCCCTCCCCGCCCGATCCCCGAGCCGATCCGCCGTCCCTCGGGGACCCCAGCCCTGCCCTCTCCGCCCCTCCAGTGGTCAGGGGCAACGTTAGGATGAAGTCGGGCGTGTCCCTCTACAGGAGGAAAGTCGAAAATAGTCAAAAATAGTTAGGGGACGATTTTTTGAGTGTTTTTAGAACTATGTTTGAAGATGTTGTGGCTATTTTTAATTTTTCCTCCAAAATCCGCCTGTAGGGGGACATGCCCGACCTAACTTTAGGGGGGAACAGGCTCAGGGGTGGGAAACATCGAGCTGGAATCGATGGTGTATCGCCCCTAGATGGGCGACAGACCCCCGGACAGCGGATCCGCGCGTTCCAAGGCGGGGGAGCTGGCTGGCTCCCATCGGCGATGCATTGCCGATTTCAGCTCGACGTCTGCCCCCCCCCGCCTGAGCCGTTCTCCCCTTCTCGCTGCCCTCCTCAGGTGTGGCCGGCGGCGGGAGCCCATCCGAAGCCTCCGGCGGACATCGGTGTGATCGAAGTGGGTACGGAAAGAGTGGGGACTTGGAGGCGGAAGAGGAACCCGTAGTGCTACTCCAACATCCCCTCGAGTCATGAACAGAATCACGACGGGATGTTTTTCGGTATGATTTTCGGCCTCATGGGACCCTTACTGGGCTTCGGAGCCGTAAAAACGATGCAGGATGAAAAGCCCGTCCCAGGGAATCGGTCGAGACCTTTCGGGTCGACGCTCTTAAAATTCATGACGTCGGGGGTCTGGGCCCTCTCCTCGTTTCCACCTTGTTGGGCCTGCTGGGAGGCCCTCGTCGCGTTGATTGGATTCGCAACGAAATATTGGTCAGACCGCACCCCAGGAGAGGTCTGGGGAGAAGCGGCACCGACTCCGTGTGGCTTCCCCAGAGAGAAGCGGCGCCGCCAGCGCCGTCGCCGTCGGCGTCGGTGCCTGCGTCGTCGTCGTCGTCAACCTCATCGTCGTCGAGGCGGCGGTCGGCGTCAGCGCTGGCGCTAGCGGCGTTGTCGTCGCCGTCGTCGTCGTCGTCGTTGTCGTCGTCGCCGTCGTCGTCGTCTTCGTCGCTGTCGTCGTCTTCGTCGCTGTCGTCGTCGTCGCCGTCGTTGCCGCCGCCGTTGTCATCGTACAGTTCCTGCCATGGTGGGCAGGGCTCGCTGTCGGTGTCGCCGCGGGCGCTGCCCGCCCGGGTGGCAACAGGGTGTGCGCCTGCCCCAGACAGTGGCTGCCGTCGGCTCCGGACAGCCTCTCCGCTGCTTTTGTGGGCCATCGTGCCCAGTTGTCTCAGCCACCCGCAGAGGCGTGGCATCGCACGGACGAGTGCATTTCTTCTCGGCGAGGGCCATCGAGGGACATTTGGATCATCTTGCGAAAAAAATAACATGCACGAAGCCGAACAATGCACGAGGACTGGACGTCCGAGCGTCGGCAAGTCTCAGCCACGCGCACAAGGGGGTAGGGGGAGGGGGGAAGGCTCCGTCGAAGCAGCCTCCTTCTAAGACGCCTTCCCCGCTGCCCCTACCCCCTTTTGCGCGCCGCAATTGTCCATGCCCCTTCCCTGAGATCTGACGTCCCTGAGATCTCGTTGTCGAATTTTATTCACAACGGACGTTTTCGCTTAGTTTCGGGCCCAGAGGCCCTCGCAGATCGATCCAGCCCGGAAAATGGCGCAGAAAGACAGGGTCTTGGGATCTAGTCGTGGTTTGCCGCGATGTTGCACTTTGTTTGCAACGTCAGATCTCAGGGGTTGCGAGCAAAAGTTGCAACATTGTGAAACATCACGACCAGGGCCCTAGGACCCACCAGTCTGCGGCAGTTCCCAGCATGGGTCGATATGTGAGGGCCCTGGGGCCCGAAGCTGGGCGGAAACGCCTGTCATGAAGAAATTGCCACGCCTGGATCTCAGTGTTTCCGTTTGTTGGCCCCTCTGCCGAGACGGTATGCGACCAAAAAGGTATGTGACCGAAGATGTGCCCGAATTTGTCGCCAAAAAAGTCGTGTGGCCGAAATTGTACCAACATTTCGGTCACACGCGGGCGATTTCGGTCACTCTCGGGCAGATTTTCGGGCTCCTGGGCCTCAGGGGAGGATGGTGGTGTATAAATCACAACTGCAAGCCAGCGAGTTGTCACACCTCTGCCTGCCCTGAAGGTACATGCAACATTCATCGGAGGGGGTCTGTGTGTTTGTATATATGCGGGCATATATGTATGTATGTCTGTATGTATGCCTGCATGCATGCATGCATGGATGTATTTATGTATGTATGTGTATGTGTATGTGTATGTGTATGTGCATGTGCATGTGTATGTGTATGTGTATGTGTATGTGTATGTGTATGTGTATGTGTATGTGTATGTGTATGTGTATGTGTATGTGTATGCTTATGTGTATGTGTATGTGTATGTGTATGTGTATGTGTATGTGCATGTGCATGTGCATGTGTATATGTGTATGTGTATGTGTATGTGTATGTGTATGTGTATGTGTATGTGTATGTGCATGTGTATGTGTATGTGTATGTGTATGTGTATGTGTGTGTATATATATATATATATATATATATATATATATATCTATATATCGGAGTAGGGCGGGGGGGGGGGGGCCGGGCCGGTGCCGTCATCCCCAGGGGCGCCCCCGGGAACCTTTGGGGGGTCACAGACCCCCTGGGACTGCCCTGGGCCGCTTCCAAATTGCCCACGACAGGCCATGCGGGCCATACAGATGGTCAAGAAAGCCTCAAAGGGGCCCCGAAGACGCCCAAGAGCGCCCCAAGAGGGCCCGAGATGGCTTGAAGATGGCTGACGAGGGCCCCAAGAGGTCCTTCAAGAGGCAAACATCTGGCCATTCCCCAAGTGAAACGTACATTTTCAGCATACTCGCTTGCTTCGTCTTCACAGTGCCCCAGACGCCCCCCGCGAAGCCCAGCCCAAGAGAAACCCACGAGGGCCCAAGACGGCCCAAAAGGGTCGGCCTGTGGGGCTCACGGACCCCCCCGAGACGGCCCAAGAAGCGCCAAAGCCGACCCAGGAGGCCCCCAAGACGGCCTCAGGGCGGCCCAAGAGGGCCTCGTTCGAAATCGTGTTCCCGGAAGCCTCTCCGCGAACATGATTTCCGGGCTCCCAGGACGCCCAAGAGGCCCACAAGACAGCCTCAGCGAGGCTTAAGAGGGCCCGAGATGGTTTGAAGATGGCCGACGAGGGCCCCAAGAGGGACTTCAAGAGGCAAAAATCTGCCCATTCCCAACGTGAAACGACTTTTTCAGCATACTCGCTTATTTCGTCTTTGCAGTGCCCCAGACGCCCCCGAGGAGCCCCAACACAGCCCTGGAGAGACCCAAGAGGGCCCAAGACGGCCCGAAAGGGTCGGCCCGAGGGGCTCACCGAACTCCCTGAGACGGCCCAAGAGGTCCCGAAGCCGGCCCAGGGTGCCCCCAAGACGGCCTCAGGGAGGCCCACGAGAGCCTCGTTCGACATCATGGACTCCGTCATGGACGCCCAAGAGGCCCACAAGACAGCCTCAGCGAGGCCCGGAGGGCCCGAGATGGCTTGAAGATGGCCGAAGAGGGCCCCAAGAGGGCCTCCAAGAGGCAAAACTCTGCCCATTCCCCACGTGAAACGTACATTTTCGGCATACTCGCCTGCTTCGTCTTCAGAGTGCCCCAGACGCCCCCGCGGAGCCCCAAGACAGCCCAAGAGAGACCCAAGAGGGCCCAAGACGGCCCAAAATGATCGTCCCGTGGGGCTCCCAAGACGGCCCAAGAGGCCCCGAAGCCGGCCCAGGAGGCCCCAAGACGGCCTCCTGGGCCGGCTTGCATTGTCAGCATGCTCCCTTGCTTCGTCTTCGCAGTGCCCCAGACGCCCCCGAGGAGCCCCAAGACAGCCCAAGAGAAACCCAAGAGGGCCCAAGACGGCCCGAAAGGGTCGTCCTGTGGGGCTGACGGAACCTCCCAAGACGGCCCAAGAGGCCCCAAAGCTGGCCCAGGAGGCCCCCCCCCAAGACGGCCTCCAGGAGGCCCAAGAGGGCCTCGTTCGAAATCATGTTCCCGGAAGCCTCTCCGGGAACACGATTCCCGGGGTCCCAGGACGCCCAAAGACAGCCCCCAGAGGCCCCGGACACGCCGAAGATGGCCTCAGGACGGCCGACGACGCCGCCAAACCGCCCCAGGAGCGCCTCCAGAGGCCCCTCCCAATGGTTTTTGAAGCATTCTTGCGCTCTCCCATGTTCCCCATCCCCACGGTCCCGGACCGCGTCAGAGGCCCTTCAGATCGCTCCAAGACGGCCGAAGAGGCTCCCAAGAAAGCCCAGAGACGGCCCAGGAGGCTCCCCAGATAAGTCAAGAGGGCCTCGAGAGCGCCCCAAGAGGGCCCCCAGAGCGACCCAAAGGGCCCGAAGAGCGCGACATTTCAAGGTCTCAGGCCTGAGAGGCTCCTAGGACGCCCCCCGGAGGCCATCAAGAGGCTCCCAAGAAGCCTTGTGAGGCTCCCAAGAGGCCCCCCGGAAGCCCCAAGAGGCCCCCAAGGGGCCCCCAGGGAAGCCCCCTGCGGGCCCCCAAGACACTTCGGTAAATCGTATTTCCCAGATAGCTTTCCGGGAACATGATTCCTTGGGCTTCCGCCCACCGCCCCAACCATGTTTCCAATAGGCTTGCCGACAAGGCCAAAAGGCGCCCCTCGGTAAGCCCCCAGAGGCCCCCCTCTTAGAGAGCCGAACAAATCATGTTCCCGGAAAGCTTCCCGGGAACATGATTCTCTATCTCGGAGTAGGCCCGGGGGGGGGCGGGCCACTGCCTGTTCCCCCCATCGGTGCCCACCAGGGGTTGCGGGCGGGGTCCAGAGCTCCCGAGGCGGCCCGAGCCCGCCCCGAAGCAGGCCACGACAGGCTAAGGGGGGCCCGAGAGGGCCCAAGACGGTCCCACGAGGCCCCGAAGACGCCCAAGATGCCTACAAGATAGCCGACGAGGACTCCAACACGCTCCAGGACGGACTCAACAGGCTCCCCAAGAGGGCCCTGGAAGACAAGGTTCACTCGTTTTCCGAGTGTTTTGGATTTTGGCGTTCGCGCTTTTCCCGCTTTCCAGCGCTCCCTTCACGGCCTCGGAGACCCTTCAGATCGCTCCAAGAAGGCCCACGAGGCCCCGACGAGGGCCCCAAGACGGCCCAGGATGCTCCCCAGACAACCCAAGTGTGCCCCAAGAGCGCGCCAAGAGAAGGCCCAGAGGGGTCCCGAGGCGGCCCGGGCCCGCCCCGAAGCAGGCCACGACAGGCTAATGGAGGTCCCGAGGGCCCGGTCCCAAAAGGCTCCGAAGACGCCTAAGCTGCCCTCAAGACGGCCGACGAGGATTCCAACACGCTCCAGGACGGACTCAAGAGGCTCCCCAAGAGGGCCCTGGGAGGCAAGATTCACTAATTTCCCGATGTTTTTTTCAGGATTTGGGCGTTCTCGCTTTCCCCGCTTCCCAGCGCTCCCTCACGGCCTCGCTCGGAGGCCCTTCAGATCGCTCCAAGAAGGCCCACGAGGCCCCGAAGAGGGCCCCAAGACGGCCCCGGAGGCTCCCCAGACAACCCAACTGTGCCCCAAGAGCTCCCCAAGAGAGGGCCCAGAGGGGGACCGCCTACCGACATTTCAAGGTCTCTGGCCCTAGAGGCCGCCTGCAGGCCACCGGAGGCGACCAAGAGGCTGCCACGAAGCCCCGTGAGGTGCCCAAGAGGCCCCCAGGAAGCTTCAAGAGACCCCCAAGGGGCTCCCTGCAGGGAACGCCCAAGAGGCCCCCCAACACACCCCAAGAAATCATGTCCCCAGAAAACCTTCCGGGGACATGGTTCATCATGGGCCCGAGAGTTCCCGGAGGCCCCCGAGGGGCCCCCACGGAACGCCCAAGAGACCCCCCAACACACCCCAACAAACCATGTCCCCAGAAAGCCTTCCGGGGACATGGTTCATCATGGGCCCGCGAGTCTCCGGAGGCTTCGAAGTACCATCATGCTACAGGAGAGCTGTCTGGGGAGTTGATTGGGAACGTGACTGATCGCCTTCTCGCGGCCCTCCGCAGATCGTTTCGCACCAAGTTGCCCTAAGTGCCCTCTTGAACCGACGACGACGACAAAACGACGAAGACGACGTCGACGACGACGACGACGACGACGACGACGACGACGACGACGACGACGACGACGACGACGACGACGACGGCGCGCCCCAATAGGCGACGACGACATTACGACGACGACGACGACGACGACGACGACGACGACGACGACGACGACGATGACGACGACGACGACGACGACGACGACGACGACGACGACGACGACGGCGGCGGCGGCGGCGGCGGCGACGACGACGACGACGACGGCACGCCCCAACAGGCTCCCCAAGACGCCCCCAAACCCATGCTCCCAGAAGGCCGTCTGGGAACCCGATTCATACGGCCTCCGCCCCCCTACACAACCCGCCCCCTCGAAGGCCTTTCGGAATGCAGATTGGCATGCGTGTACTGTGGTCCACTACTTCAGTGGAGCAGTGAATTCGTCAATGCCTGGGGCCTGCTAGAACCTGAGCGCGCGCGAAGCGCGCGCGATGGTTCTAGTACATATTTATGTATATATATATAGAGAGAGAGAGAGAGAGAGAGAGAGAAAATATCTATATCTACATCTATATCTATATCTATATCTATATACATCTATGTGTGTATACATATATATATGTATGTATGTATGTATATATATGTATATATATATATATATATATATGTGGCGTCGACGAGGCTACGTGACAGTTTGCCGCGCCCCTTTCGGGCGTGCCGAGGACACGCCCAGGGTCCCCGAAGCGTGCGGACACCGCTTCGCGACGCGGGTGCAGGTCCGTCGCCGCCTGGCAGGCGACCAGCACGAGGGCGGCGGCCTGGAGCTGGCGCCCATGGACCTCGACCGAGCCGCGCTGGCGCCCGTGGGCGCTGGCGAAGAGGATCTCGTTTTCTTTGAATCCTCTGGCGCGCAGGGAACGTTACCCGGGCCAGGCCCCCACCCACATCCGGGGGAACGGTAGTGGCGGTCGTGCGTAGAGGGGGGGGGGCCTGGTTCCCCACCCCCACATGCTGGTGCTCGCGCGGATGTTATGGCAATTGCGGCGCACCCCCGCCCCGACGTGCCCTAGACTCGAGGCGCTGAAGTAAGGACCCCTCTAGGCTCAGGAGGGGCTGCGTTTTTCGGGCCGTTCCTCAGACCTCGGTCGGGGAACCCATTCGGGGCCGAAGCTCGCCGCGGCCAGGAAAGCTTCTTCGTTCATTTGGCTGTCATCTTGGCAGTACAATGACTACACGAGAAATAATAAAACGCTCTCGAGGGCCTGCCGGAGGGCTGGCTCGTCGGCGCCGTGAGGCTCCCCGTTCACCGCCCCGAGTTCGCAGACGGCGATCGAGGAAGGAAAACGGCATACAGTCGAGGCGCTGACATTCCCTCTCCTCCTCCTCCTCCTCCTCCTCCTCCTCCTCCTCCTCCTCCTTCTCATCCTCCTCCTCCTCCTCCTCCTCCGCTCCCCCCCCGGGATGTGGTGACGTGAACCCGGCCGGCCGCTATAGAGCACTTCCGATGAGATGATAGCCCCATTGAGGGGCAGATCGTTTGGTATCCGCTCCCATCTTCTCCCTAAAAAGCAAAACAACAAAAACTTGGAGGCGCTGACACACGGAACATTTAGGGCTCAGGAGGGGCTCGGCTTTTCGGGCCGTTCCTTTGGTCTAGGTCGGGGAGCCTGATCGCAGCCTACGCTCGCCGTGGCCAGGAAATCTCCTTCGTTCCTTATTTGACGTTCCTTCTGGCAGTGCCATGACTGTAATCCTAAGCTGTCGGAGGTCCGCGCGGGTTTCTTGAATCGGGCGCTGGGCCCCTGTGGCGGCGCCGAAGGCGCCCCCCCTAATGCGCTCCCCTCGCCAGAGAGGGGGGCCCAGCGCCGGATCCAAGAAGTCCGCGCGAACTTGAGACAAGGTATGCTTGTGCAATTTTCGATGCTTCTCTAGGCGAGAAGCATGTCGTCTCCCTCCGCATCGGCGACGGCTGGCGGTGGTCGGCCTGGAGCTCATAGTGGGAACAAGTACCGGTAGCGCTGCTCGTCCTCCGGGAGAGCGCCCGCCTCTATGGCTGGATTCTCTTTGAACTTCGATCGGGCCAATATGCGCCCCCGGGATGGGCTCGTGGAGTGGCGGTATCGGTGCCTCTCCGTCCACTGATGAGGAGGAGAAGGAGGAGGAGGGAGGAGGAGGAGGAGGAGGAGGAGGAGGTGGAGGAGGAGGAGGAGGTGGAGGAGGAGGAGGAGGAGCCAGGAGCGCCTGGAGCAAGCCCGCCCACGTGCGCGTGCCGCCCGTGGCCGCGCCGGAGGGAGGCGTCCAGGTGACGGCGCAGCCGCCAGCGCGGGCCACCGTCCGCTTCACGGCGCCCCGCTCCGAGCTGGGCGTGCCGGTGGAGTGCGCCCTGTGGGCCTGTCTCCTCGGGCCCGACGGCGCCGAGGCCCGGGACGGCCGCCAGCTTGTGGCGGTGCACACGGAGGGGGGGCTGCCTGCCGGGGGGGCCGCGCAGTGGCGGCAGCTGGAGGTCGGCGTCGGGCAGCTGCTCCCCCGGCGGAGCTACCGCTTCGCCCTGATGGCCAGGCCGCTGTGCAACGTGTTGGGGCCCCCGGCCTTCCAGGAGGTCGCGTCGTCGGCGCCGCTGGTTTGGCAGGAGGTCGCCGTGGAGCAAACGGGCCACGAGGGCCACGGGTCCTAGGGTTAAGTCGGGCCTGTCCCACAACAGGAGGAATATTCAAACATAGTAGATAGTCTGGGGACGATTTTTTACTATGTTTGAGTATGTTTTGGGTATTTGGGGGTATTTTTCATGTTTCGTCCAATAACCCCTTGAAGGGGGACACGCCCGACTTAGTCCAAGGGTTTTCAGCTGTTCTCGACCGCTTGGGGCCCTCCATCTCGGGAGTGTCAGAGAACGACCCAGGACTAAACGCTGGTCCAGGGTGACGACCCCGGGTTCCAGGAGATGAAGCGGAAAAATGGCGGGAGCATCAGAAAACGACCCAGGACGAAACGCTGGTCCAGGGTGAAGACCCCAGGGCCCAGGAGTTGAAGCGGAAAAATTGCAAAAAACACGGATTGTCTGCGAATTTTGTAAACGTCGGCGCTGGGTCCCGTCCCCTCCCTGGCGCGCGGAGCCTGTCTCGCGGAGCGCGCCAGGGGCGGCGCAGACGCGCCGCCGGAGGCGCCGCCAGGCCCAGCGCCCGGTCAACGAAATCCGCGTGGAGCTCCGAAAGCACATGTTTATTTGTTTATCGTGATTTTTCTCTCTATAAGGAGGCCGCCGCGGGCGACGACGAGGGCGCCCACGTCGACGTGGAGTCCTGGGACATACCTCAGGCTCAAGCATCGTCGCCGAACCGACCCCCATCCCAACTGGGCCATGGCATCTCAGCCCTGGCAGCCCGCTCGCCATGGTGAGGACAGGCCCCGCGAAGCCCTGAGGAACGGGCACAGATCCCCATCCGGGGGGTCGAGTGCGCCAGTGGGGCCGAGGCCGTGCCAGTGGGGATAGGGAGGAGGAGGAGGAGGAGGAGGAGAAGGAGGAGGAGGGGAGGAGGAGGAGGAGGAGGAGGAGGAGGAGGAGGAGGAGGAGGAGGAGGAGGAGGACCTGTTCGAAACGATGCTCACAGGCAGTCCCTGTCCCGGTGCCAGAGAGCATCGAGGCTGGCAGGGGGGTCTGGCGTGGCAGGGCCGTGCTGCTGGCGTGGCCCCGGGGCACCCCCGTTGGCGACGACCCGCCGCTCGAGCTGCAGGGCCACGCCGAGGGCGAGAGTGGGCCAGCGGCCTGGGCGCCAGTGCCCTGGTCGCTGCAGTACCTGCAGGATCGGCTGCTTGCAAGGCTGGGGTCGGGCCGACTGTCGCTGAGGTCCTGGCGCTGTTATCTCTTCACGCCAGGCATTTTCGCCGAGTTTCGGGCCCCAGGGCCATCACAAATCGATCGATCATGTTGCAGTGTTTTCGCAGCGCCGGATCTCAGGGTTGGCTTGGGGAGTCCAGAGACGCGTGGCAACACCGCAGACAGGACGAGTTTCGGGAAGGACTCTTGGACTCATGCCAGCCCATGCGCCCCAGTCAGCCTGCACCCACGGTCCTTCGTCCAGCCGGCAGGAGCGACCCCACGTCGTCGCAGCACCGTTGCCTTTCGCCCAAGGGCGTTTCCGATGGTGGTCGCGCGATCGGCGTGTTGGTGGTCCTCGCAGTGAGCTGTGCGTTGCGGCGGTGGAGCCGCCCTCCGAGCCAGAAGTGCACGTGTTCTGCTCCGAGACGGCAGTCTACGTCCACATCCTCGGGGAACAAACAATCACATTGACATAAATTTTCGGAGGTCCGCGCGGTTTTGGGGGGGATCGGCGCTGGGCCCCCCTGGATGGCGCGCGGAGCGCGCCAGGGGAGGCGCCGCCAAAGGGGGCCCCTCAGCGCCGATCTCAGAAATCCGCGCGGACCTCCGAAAGTCTATGTTTAATGTCATTGTTTGTGCCACGACATCCGTGCCCCCCTGCCGCACCCGAGCCACCGGTCTGCGCCCCTGTGCCAGGCGAGATTCCAGCGGGTGGACTGCGTCCAGGATGCGGCTGGCGAGGCCAGGGACGTGCCCGTGGGGGAGTGGCAGACCCCGCAGGCTGGGGGAACAGCTGACCCAGACCCAGACCCCTGAGATCCGACGGGGCGAAAAATGCAAAACATCAGAACAAAGACGCGATCGGAGCCCCAGGCCCCATCTTTCTGCGCCACTTTTCGAGCCGGATCGATCCATCTGAGGGTCCTAGGCCCCGAAGCTGTGCGAGAAGACGGACGATTTGAAACAGTTTTTCGTCCCAGACCGCGCGGGCCCCCAGTCGCCGAAGCCGACGAACAGTGTGCGTTTCGTTTTTTTGTTCAATACGTTGAAGGTCTGGCTTTTGTTATCCTGCAATTTGGTGGGGGCGTTCGTTAAGGAATGTGCCCAGGAGGTTTCAGATCTTGGAGGGTTCCTTATCCAATGAGGGCGCCAGTGATATCCATGCAATCCACGATTGGAGTCCACTGGCTTCCAGACCCTTGATAATTTAAGCCACTGTTTCTTATCCAATGACCTCACCATGCATTGGAGGTCTGGGTTTCGCCATCCCTCATGATCGGTGCGCTCCTCCGTCAGAAGGCGGCGGAGCTGCGCGCGGAGGGCGCGCACCCGCACCGCGCGCTGGACACCGTGTACGGGGAGGCGGCAGTCGGCGCCGCCGATGCCGCAGTCGCTGTCGCCGCCGCCCCAGACACACTCGCGTCGTGCAGCACAAATCACGGCGGGGTGGGTGGGAGAGCCGTTTTCGGGCTTCGGAGGTCTTCGTCGGGCCCCGGGACTGTCAAGCAGTTGCCCGCGAAGAAAGCCGGCCCCGGGGAAAGGGTCGGAACTTCCAAGGATTTCGCATTGGTCGGGGGCGGAAAAGAGGGGGGTGATGACTAGTGGGGGGTGGATATCATGGCGGGGGCCATGATATTTCCTCAGATCTCATGGCGTCTCTTCTTATTTCATTGCGTCCCTGGCCCCCCCCCTGGGCCGCGCACGTGCGTGCCGCTGGCCATTTATTCCCCCCCCCTCTTGGACGCCCCCCTCTTGGCCGCCCCCGAAGGGACCTCGCACTGGAGAAAACAGTGCAGCGCACGTCTGGGGCCGTTCTCTATGATCTCGGCGTTGCAAGTTTTCTCGCAGCGGGCGGGTTCTGCCGTGCTTCGGGCCACGCGGGGTCCTCACGAATCGAGCCGGCGTGGAAGATGCCGCAGGAATGTTGGGTCCAGGGCTTTGTCCAGTTTTTTTTTCCGTAGACGCGCTACTGGTGTGTCAGGTAACGGCGAAGTAGGATAACCAATTGTAGGGAGGCGTGGTTCGTGGCCAAACCGATTGTAGGGACGCGCGGTTCGTGTTTTCTTACAACTCGCTGTGTCGTTTTCGTTCGATACATGCGCATGTTTGACATGTAGGAAACGGTGTTTCGTGATGTCCTAGATTTTGGTTTGCGTGAGCTCGGTGTCACAAACACTAAATTCCCAACCGCACCGTTAACCAAGCACGCCGTCAGCGCAGCCTTGGTTTTTGTCGATGTTGCAATTTGTTTTGTAACCTCGGATCCCAGAGTTGCCGTCGTCATCGCCGTCGAGGCTGCCGTATCCATCGTCGACGTTGTCGCCGTCGTCACAAGCTGTCGCCGTCGCCGCCATCATCGCCTTCGCCCCGACAGCTGTCACCCTCCCTGTAAAGATCGAGGCGGACGGCGCGTCGCCGATGCCGTGCTTTGGGGGCATTCACGAGGCCCCAAGGCCGTCAAAGGATGACTCAGGATGGAACGCTTGGAGAAAGGGCGGAAATTTCGGGGGGCGAAGAGCTGAAAACTATATGGTCGAGATGCCCAGCTGTATGCAGGTGTGAGCGCCGCAAGGCAGGTGAAGAGGAGAAGAATGATGATGGGCCGCGAAGCGTGCGATGAGTGTGCCGACACGGAGGCGGTGCCGCCATGCGAACCCTGTCACTGGAGCCTTCTGTGGAGCCCCCTCATGAGGCCACGAAGAGTGTGAGCCCTGTGCCGAAACTGGCCGGGCGACGCCGTGGAGAACAGAAAGATACCGATGCCGCCGCTCCCCATACTTCTCCTGGGGTGCATTCTGTTCAGGATTTGAGGAGAATCCAGCCGTGGCGACGATGGCTCTCGAGGAAGAGCAGCGGTATCGGTATCTTTCCCTTCTCTGACCGTCGTCGCCGTCATGGTCGTCGTCGCTGCCGCCCTCGCCGCCGCCGCTTCTCGGGGGCGGAAAAGAGGGGGGTGATGACTAGTGGGGGGTGGATATCATGGCGGGGGCCATGATATTTCCTCAGATCTCATGGCGTCTCTTCTTATTTCATTGCGTCCCTGGCCCCCCCCCTGGGCCGCGCACGTGCGTGCCGCTGGCCATTTATTCCCCCCCCCTCTTGGACGCCCCCCTCTTGGCCGCCCCCGAGCTGCCGTTGCCGGCGCCGCCCTCGCCGTCGCCGCCGTGGGCAGGCGGACGGCCTCGAGCTCGGGCGCCGCTACGTGTTCAGCGTGCGCTGCGGCGACCGCCGCCGCCGCTCGCCCTGGTCGGCCTCGTCGCCGCCGGTGCTCTTCGACGTGCCGGAGGCCATGGCGCCCCGCTGCGCCGAGGCGGGCGGTGCGCTGCTGGTGGAGGCGCTGGCGCCCACCTCGGTGCGCCTCTGGTGGGCCGAGGTGCGTGCGCCAGAGGCCCTGTCCCCCAGGAGCGTCGGCGGCACCGCAATGGGTACACGGCAGGTTCGCAGCGTGTCGGCGTGGCGGCGGCCCCGCCGCGGGCGTTCGAGGTTGAGCGCCGCCAGTGGGCCAGAATCGGCCAACATGGAGCGATCTGGCCGTCGGAAAGACGGCTTCTGGGCACGGCAGCGCTGCCCGCATCGCGGGCAGGGTTTGGTTTGCCGGGTCGCTGGCCAGCGTGCCCGTTAGTGGAGTCCCCCAGGATCGGGGGGGGGGGGGGCAGCTGCCTTTCAGGGGCAACGCCGATTCCAGGTCGTTGTCTCCCCTGAGCCAGTCCCCCCCTAACTACCGTTCCCAGTCAACTTGGCCCCCCCCCTCCAATACCTCCGACGAAATGATTGTTGTCGATCGCAGAGATCTCCCTGCGATTCGGCCCCGGGAGGCCGCTCTCGGTCCCGTGGGGGCAATCGCACATGGGCCTGGGACGCGGGGCTACCCCGGGGCAAGGGGTCGGACGTTCTGGGGCCGCGGATTGCAAGCACCAGATCGGGGGACGTCTGAGTACCTTGGCCACTTCGCGTCGTGCAGGACACCGCGGCGGGAGCTTTTCCTTTTTGTTTTTGTTGATTGTAGTTTTCTGCGTCTGGGGGCCCTCACTGGGCCCCTGGGCCGCCAACAGGAATGCGCCCAGGGTAAGGCGCCGGTCCCTGGGAGAGGGTCGAGACGTGCGAGGGTCCACGTCGTGAAGAGATCACGGCGTCGGGGGCCTGATATGTCACATCTGCACCGATCCTTGCCTGGCGTGCTTCGGGCCAAATCGGTGCGTGCGTGTGTGTGTGTGCGCGTGTGTGTATGTGCGCGTGTGTGTGTGTGTGTGAGTGTGCGTGTGGTCGCCTTGCGCAGCCACCTTCCTTTCCCTGCGCGCGCTCGAGTCGCCCTGCTTTGACCACCCATCTGCTAGGCCTGATGGCATTAACGCTAAGCGTGGCCCGCCTTAGCCGCTCGCTACAGTGGCGTCACTCGGCCGCTTGAGGGGGAAAGTGCGCGTCTGTGTGTGAGTGTGTATGTGTGTGTGTGTGCGCGCGTGTGTGTGTCTGCACGCGTGTGTGTGTGTGTGTGCGCGTGTGTGTGTGTGTGTGTGTGTGTGTGTGTGTGTGTGTGTGTGTGTGTGAGAGAGTGTGTGAGTGTGTGCGTGTGTGCGTGTGTGCGTGTGTGCGTGTGTGTGTGTGCGCGCGTGCTTGTTTGTTTGTTTGTTTGGTTGGTTGTTTGTTTGTGTGTGTGCGTCAGCCCGACGCCGTAGACGACGCCCAGAAACATAAGGAATCCCCCTCCCTCACCCAACATGTCGCTCAGCCTCGAGCCCACCCCCATGCCCCTCGCGACGCTTGGCGAGATGCTGGTCTGCGAGTTGCTGGACGCAGATCTGGATCCCGACGCGACCTGCCACAGGGCCGCGATCAGCGAGTGGGAACTTGGGGAGCAGTGGTGGCGTGTCGTGAGGCTGCTCCACGGGGCGGTTCGGCCCCGCACATTCAGCTACAATCCTGGTGTCAGCAGCAGTGGTAGTGGGCAGTGGCAGCGTGCCGTGCCGCTGCTCTGCGACGAAGTGCGGATGGGGAAGTTGGAGCCCATTGCGATCAGCTGCAGTTTCAGAATCAGCAAGTGCGACCTCCCTCCCGACGCAGCCTACGACTCCGCCCCCGATGACAGTTCCGACGCCGTTCCATCCCCAGTCCGACGCTCTCATCCCGACGCTGGCTCTGGCGCCGTTCCCGACGATGGTTCTGACGCCGTTCCCTCTCTGAGCCGACGCCCCCATCGCGAGGCGGCCTCTGGCTGGTGCCGCCCCCGACATCGGTTCCAACGCCGTTCCCTCTCTCGGCCGGCGCCCTCACTCCGACGCTGCCCCCGACTTCGCCTCCGAGGACGGTTCCGACGCCGTTCTCTCCCCGGGCCGACGTTCCCATCCCGACGCTGCCGTCGACGCCGCTCCCGACGACGGTTCTGACGCCGTTCCCTCTCTGGGCCGACCCCCCCGATCGCGACGCTTCCTAGGACGCCGCCCCCGACGACGGTTCCGATGCCGTTCCCTCCGCAGGGCGACATTCCCATCCCGACGCTGCCTTCGACGCTGCTCCCGACGATGGTGCCGACGCCGTTCCCTCCCTGGGCCGACGCCCCTATCCCCGACACTGCCCCCGACACGCTCCAGACGACATTATTCCCGACACCGTCCACTCCCTGGGCTGCCTGCCCCACTCCGACGCCGGCACCGGCCCCGCCGACGCTTCCGACGATAATCATTCGAGTTGCCCAGGAATGGTAGCCTACATTCGAAGTCAAGCGCAAGTTTTCCCGCGACGTGGCGGCGCCCCAGGACCCCAGATGTCCGATATTCGCGCCGAAACTGGCGACTGTAAACACAATAACCTGACCCCGCGGGCCGCGTCTCGCGCGTCGATCAGCATTCGAAGCTCGCGTTTGATTTCGAGGATTGTTGTGTGCCGTGGCCGACGCCAGCCCTGGCGTCTCACCCGATGGTGGGCCGTGCGCCGGTTGGGGTCGAGACAGCGCCTTCGCTCCACGCTGGCCGCCTGACACGGCCCCTCAGGCTGGGGCCGCTGCCCCAGGTTGTTAGCGTTCCCTCTGCACGGTGCCCATGTCTGCCGCTCAAGTGATCGGCGTCACCCCAGGGCCTCCCCCGCGCGCCGTCGAGCATCCCCCGCTTCAGCTCCCCACGCCGTTCCACGCGCCACTGTCCGCCCCCCGCCCTCTCTCTACCAGACCTGGATGCGCCAGTCACCGCTCAGGTATCCCTCCGCTTCAGGATCCTTCGGCGAGCCCGCCCCCCACCAGAGCTGGAGGTGACTGGGTCGGGCGCTATCCCGTCAGCCACCATTCAGGCATCACTCCATCAGGAGGGGCCGCAGGATTTTGGTGCGTTTCGGAAGCGAGGCGGCGCGAAGAAGTGTCGCACCATGAAGGGAGAAGTGACGGCGTGAAGAAGTGCCAGCCTGGTCCCGGCCCCCCTCCTTTCTCCCCCCGGCCTTTGTGTTGTACCTCCTTTCCACAAGTACACAATCTGAATACTACTCACCTATTGTTTTTCTACACAGCATTATGTCTTCGTTTGTTTTTTTCCAAATGTTGCTCCCGCTGATGTGCTGGCCTCATTTTCGGGCTTCCGCTCGTTACGAATCGTGCTCCCGCTGCAACGCTGGCCTCGTGTCCTCGCTTCCGCTCGTTCCGACACTTGTTCCCGCTGCAGCGCTGGCATTCCTTCCAAACAGGCCCCAAAATCTAGAAAATGCCCCCCCGGAAAAACCATAGGAAGTGATTCCACATTCGGTGTCAATTCGTTGATTTTTTGGGCCGCAGAAGTCCCCCCACTTGGGGGCGTCGTCGCTTTCAGGAATTATCAAGCGGGAGCCCCGTTTCTGCGTTGAGAACAGAGCAGGCGGATGCTCTCCATCAGCCCCGCCTTGTGTGGGGCTTTTCGGGGAGCCCAAGGAGCTAGACATGGAGCCACGATTCCAGACCGGCCCAGACCTCGAAGCCGATTCACTTACTTTCCAAGGAACCTGGCGCCGTGTCATGACATGCTGTGCGGTGTTGTGTTCTGCGCGGCTGAGCGATGCCACGCTTTGCGTTGCAATGCTCTGCGATGCAATGCGTCACTGCGAACCGCCACGCCATGCCATGCCGTGCTCGACCGTACATCGCGGACCCTATCGCGATCGTTGCCTTGCTCGGCATCCGACGGTGCGAACAGAGAGGATAGCTACGCCATGCTAAGGGATGGGAGGGAGGGATAGGACGTCAGATATGACGCGAGCGCACCCAGCTTGTCTCCCCCCCTCCCTCCGCTGGCTCCTCCCCCCCTTCGTGCCTTGCCTTGCCCTTGCGGCGTGTGGTGTCTCCCTTCTTCCCCTCGGCTCCCCCTTCTCCGTCGGTCGGCCCGTGCCCCTCGCGTCAGCCCATGTCTCCCTCGGCGGGCTGTCCGCCGTCGCTCCTCGTGCCTCGCTTCTCCCCCTCTTTGCTTGCCGCTCCTCGTGCCATTGCTTGCTGGCCCCTGGTGGTCCTGACTCTGGCCGGCCCTGGCCTATTGCAATAGTTCGTGTGCCTTGCCGTTCTTGCCGCCGCGTGCGCGGCCGCGAACCTTGGGACGGGCTGGCGCTGCGCCGCCCCGCTGTCGCCGCAAAAGTGTGCGCGCGTGTGAGTGAGTGTGTGTGTGTGTGAGTGTGTGTGTGTGAGAGTGTGTGTGAGTGTGTTTGAGTGTGTGTGTGTGTGTGTGTTTGCTCGTGCATGCATGCTGGGAGGTCGTGTGCACCACCCCATGGTCCTCTTCTGAGCCCACTCGGCGCCTGAGCCCGTCTGGCCGCCGCCGAACGGGGTCGGTTCCGACATCGCGCTGGGGATCGACCCCGCCCAGTTGCCGGGCGGGCTCGCCTGTGGGCCCGCTCGGCGAACGAGCGGGCTTAGACGCCGCGTCCCAGACATCCGACGACATGATTTTCTCACGCGCGGCCCCAGAGCTCCCGACCCCTCCCTGCAGGCGTAGCGTTGCGCCCCGGATCCGCTCCTGAGGGCCCCAGGGGCCCGATGACGGGCTCCCTGGGGAGGAGATCGGGGACAAACGCCCAGATTGGAAAAATCAGATCGTCGGAGGCTTGGGCGCGCACAGAAAGGAACTTCGGGGCAGTCCTGGGCCCCAGGTCAGCCAAGTGCAGAGGGGGGGGAGCGGGGAGAGTGGAGGGCTTCTCAGAAGCACCCCGCCTTCTTGGAAGGCGCGGCGCCCCCTTCCAAGGAGCTTGCGGCTGCTTCTGAGAAGCTGGTTCCGGCGTGCTTTTCAGAGGCGGCCAGCTCGCTTCTGGGAGTCTGCCCCGTGCTTTTGAGAAGCGGCTGCGGTGCTTCATGAGCGGCGGCGCGCCCCTGGGCGCAGGCGATTTTTCTCCCCCAGCCCCCCCCCTTGTCGACAAAAAACGAAGCCGTTCAGAGCAGGAAGGAAGCCCTGGGGATACACCCCAAGGGGCGTAT